AGAGCCCATGTGCCCTGGAGCCTGCACACCACAACTAGAGAAGAGAAAACCCACACGCCACAACTAGAGAGAAGCCCGTGCACCACAACGAAGAGCCCGCATGACATAATGAAAGATCCCACGTGCTGCAACTAAGACCCGACGCAGCCAAAAATAAATTAAATAAATAAATAAATCTTAAAAAAAAAAAGATTGTAAGCTCCACAAGAGCAGAGACCATGTTTCTATCTGCTTATCATTGTATTTGCAATACCTAGAATGATGCCCAGAAAAAACTATTTGTTGAATGATTGGCCAAAGAGATAACTGATTTTTAAAAAATTAATTAGTTAATTAATTAATTTTTGGCTGTATTGGGTCTTCATTGCTGCACGTGGGCTTTCTCTAGTTGTGGTGAGCGGGGGCTATTCTTTGTTGCGGTGCCTGGGCTTCTCATTGCGGTGGCTTCTCTTGTTGTGGAGCACTGGCTCTAGGCACACGGGCCTCAGTAGTTGTGGCTTGCGGGCTTAGTAGTTGTGGCTTACGGGCTCTAGAGCGCAGGCTCAGTAGTTGTGGCACATGGGCTTAGTTGCTCCGCAGCATGTGGGATGTTCCTGGACCAGGGCTCAAACCTGTGTCCTCTGCATTGGCAGGCAGATTCTTAACCGCTGCTCCACCAGGGAAGTCCAAAAGAGATAACTGATTGAATGAAGCATGAAAGGTTTGGAAAGGGAAGACCAAGTGATGCTCTTAGAGTCAGGATCAGATCGACTCAGCTCTGAGTTGTCCAGCCCTGGGTTTTATACCAAAGCAGATTTCTTCTGGAGGGCCCTTTCTACCTTATGATTCTATTGTCATTTTAACTACTATTGGACATTGGCCATTTTCGCCTGCCCAGTGTTTGTTCCCTTTTTCTATGAGGTCCTCAGTTTCCTTTTGGGAAAGTCCTCTGCTCATTTTGTGTCCTCTTTTGGAGAGGTGGATCCTGTTAGGCACCTTCCACCATGAAAGATGAAGGTATCACACCCTTTTCTTTGTTTGCCACCCACCCCCATGGACCAATGTGACCTAAAGTCAGCCAATCAGATACTCTCTCCCATGACTGACTCTTGGGCAAGTGACTCAAGGATGGAAGGGCTGGTTAGAGCTCATTTATTTTGATGGTGGTGCGCTCACCAGTTTCTGCCACAAACCCTCACTAAGGTCCTTGCTGCCTAGCCCTCTGGATCTCCGCTCACTCCTGAGTTTTTCTAAGCCTGGCCCCCCAGCCTTTAGCCAGGTCTCTGAGCTGCTAATAACCTTCCAGTGAATTCCCATCTGTGCAAGTCAGGCAGCATTAACTTGTGCTGCATGCAGCCAAGACCCCTATTTGACAGCGCAGGCCGGCTGCTCCTCCGGCTGTATAGTTTCTCTCACTTTATTTCTCTTCCTAGGCTGCAGTCCTGCATGGCCCTTTAAAAAAATACTATACTGGAAGCCTCCTCCTTTAATACTGATTCCAAGCAATTGTCATTTGTCCTTTCCATGCCATTCCTTGTAGTGGGCAATGATAGGGTTGTTCCTTCCTTCTCCACCGTGAATCCTCCTTCTCTGTAACTGATTCCTCACCTCCAGCAGCTTGACCTTGGGCTTTGACCATCATCGATTGGTCAAGCATTAGATATCTCACCTTAAACTGGGCCAATCAAATTTCTGTTTCCTGGGAATTTATAAGCTTTACCTAGGGAATGTGAAAGCTGTAGGTGGCTGACCGCTAAGCCTCAGAAGTGAGCTGGTTCTAGGGGGAATGTCTATAATTTTCTGTTGCTGAGGTTTGGGATTCTTTTCTTGGTCCCAACACTTACCTATCTTGAGGAGAGTGCCAATAAATATATATAACTCTCTCTCTTTTTTTTTTAAAACATCTTTATTGGAATATAATTGCTTTACAATGGTGTGTTCGTTTCTGGTTTAAAACAAAGTGAATCAGCTATATATATACATATATCCCCATATCTCCTCCCTCTTGCATCTCCCTGCCACCCTCCCTATCTCACCCCTCTAGGTGGTCACAAAGCACCGAGCTGATCTCCCTGTGCTATGCGGCTGCTTCCCACTAGCTATCTATTTTACATTTGGTAGTGTATAAAATATAACTTTCTTGATTAAGTTTTCTAATATTCGCTTATCTGCAATCAAAACAACCTTAATTCAATTCACAGTCTCCATGTGATAGAAGGCTCCTTGGAGGCACGGCCAGATTTTCATTCATTCATCCATTTATTCACTGATCAAACATTTATTGGGGGCTTCCCTGGTGGCGCAGTAGTTGAGAGTCCGCCTGCCGATGCAGGGGACACAGGTTCGTGCCCCGGTCCGGGAAGATCCCACATGCCGCGGAGCGGCTGGGCCCATGAGCCATGGCCGCTGAGCCTGCGCGTCCGGAGCCTGTGCTCCGCAGCGGGAGAGGCCGCAACAGTGAGAGGCCTGCATACTGCAAAAAAAACAAAAAAACGAAAAAACAAACCATTTATTGGGCACTTACTATGTTTCAGGCACTATGATAGGTGCTGAGAACACCAAGAGGAATTAGACAATCCCCTGAACTCAAGGAGCCTGCTCTCTGTCTAGTTGGGGTATTAATGTCTTCAATCATTCATTCATTTAACAAGTAGTTCATTTATTCTAACGAACTAATCATCGCCAGCACTTATTGAATATTATGTGACAGGCCCTGGTACTAAATGCTTTTCTTATTTAATTCTCATAATTCTATGAGATATGTCCCAATTTACAGATGAAGGCACTGAGTCACAAAGAGGTTAGGCAGCTTTCCAAAGTCACAAAGCTTCTAAGGTGGGGCTCCAATCCTGTCTGACTACAGAGCTCTTGCTTCTAATCATTGTGTGACCTCCCTCTCAAAATAAAGAATCCCAAAGCAATGTGACATATGCCTACACAGGTGTGTATAAGGTTCACAGAGAAGAAAGTGACTGATTTTGCCTAGAGGTTGGAGTTCAAGAAAGGTTTCACAGCTGAAGAGGTTTGAGCAATCTTGGAGGAAGAGAAGAATTGTAAGCCTGGTGCCTTGCACAGAACTTTGCACATGAACTCAGTAAAATGATGATAAGGCAGCTTATGCCTCTGGAAGGAGTTGTTTTCCTGTGTACATGGAGTCTGGGGTGTTTCCTACTGCCTTCTGAGGCATCCCTTTTGTGATTTAGCAATGGTGTACAAGATCATCAGATCATTTATGTATTATATCATTCATGTTCACAAAAACTTTGTGAGGTAAGTAGTACAGGTATTAACTTCGTAAGATGCGTGAGGAAGCCAAGGTTGATGTTGCATGACTTGTACAAGACCACACATGGTGAGTAAGTGGCAGAACAAGACAAGGCCCTGGTGTCCTACCCTCTGGAGGGAGGGATTGCCTAGCAGGATTCCTTAATCTAGCCAGGCTCCTTAACTCTCACTCTCCAGTAAGGCATTGCTGTTTCCAGCCTCTATACCTAAGCTTCCAAAGGTTCCCTCTCCCAGGATCACCCACCCCTTCCTTCTCATTTCCGGCTCTCCAAATACTGCTCATCCTTCAAGATCAAGCTCATTCCACATCTTCCTCCCAGGCCTTCTCTAGCTTCATTCAGCTCACTGTCTAAGCCCCAGTTAAATCCGTTACCCGTGCTTCCAACCAGATTCCTGCCCTGAAAACTTCCTGTATAGAAAGTCTAGACTTGTCACCGTCAACCAGCCTTCCTCACCAGAACTCCTGTTGCCTAATCATTCCAGCCTTTGGTCAGCCTTTTATTGTTTACTTTATTTATTTATTTAAACATTTTTATTGGAGTATAATTGCTTTACAATAGTGTGTCAGTTTCTGCTTTATAACAAAGGGAATCAGCTATACATATACATACCTCCCCGTATCTCCTCCCTCTTGGGTCTCCCTCCCACCCTCCCTATCCCACCCCTCTAGGTGGCACAGCCAGTATTCAAACCCAGACTGACTCCAGAGTCCATACTCTTAAACATGACACTAAATTCTTTTTTTTTTTTTTTCTGTACGCGGGCCTCTCACTGTTGTGGCCTCTCCCGTTGGCGGAGCACAGGCTCCGGACGCGCAGGCTCAGCGGCCATGGCTCATGGGCCCAGCCGCTCCGCGGCATGTGGGATCCTCCCGGACCGGGGCACGAACCCGTGTCCCCTGCAACGGCAGGCGGACTCTCAACCACTGCGCCACCAGGGAAGCCCCGACACTAACTTCTTTATGGGTAACCAAAAGTTTCTTGCTACAATGTAAATCCATTTCTTCTCTTTCTAATAACTATGGGAATATAGAGCTAAAGAGATGAAAAATAATATGTATACATTATGCTTCTAATATGAGCCAGGTATTGTGATAGGTGCAAAATGGCTTATTAATGTAATTCTTGCAATGAGTCTATGAGGCAGGAAGTATTAACTCCATTTTAAAGAATTTGGCTCCTAAAGTGGTTAAACACTCAAGGTTTAGCTTCTGGTTACTGTCAGAGCTGGAACAACCAGGTTTCTTGTTTTTCAAGGAAGTGTTCTTAAAAGGAAGTTGTACAGAAAACCCTGATAGGGACAGATGTGAAGGGCAAAGAGACACCCGAATCATTACTTAAAATGTGTTAATGTATGATGCATATTGAAGAATGGTGAAGGAATGTCGAAAAAGGCTTACTATAAAAACCCACAGAAGAATTAGCTAATTAAATTAAGGCCTGGGATTCAAACCCGAGAACTTCCCGGGAGGCAAGGGTAGAGAGGGTGCCACCTGTCCAGAAGAGGGAACCCGCTCTAGAGACCTGGTCCCAGGTCCAAAGGTCGCTTCAGAAAACCCCCTTGACACCCGCGGGCCGTTTTATTCCATCCCGTCATTGGACAGGTAGGAGCCTGGGGTCCGCCTCCTCCTCCTCCAGATTGGTCAGCAGTCCTCAGGCTCACGACACTCCTGCGCGCCCCGCCTGGTCTCCAGCTCCCGGGCCCAGCCTACGGCGATCCGCTGCTTCGTAGGGGAGTGGGTCCCGCCCCCATGTGACGGCCCGGCAGGGAATTGGCGGCGGCGTGCAGCCATTTCCGGTTTCGGGGAGGTTGGAGGGGTGCGTCGGGGGACTTGGAGCCGCTGCCGCCTCGGCCGCCGCTTACGGATCCTGCCTTGCGCCTAGTGCTGCCGGGACGATGCGGACGGAGCCCGGAGGGTGCTGCTGCCGTCGCCCGGTGCGGGCGAACGACTGCGTGGCGAACGGGGAGGTGCGCAACGGGTACGTGAGGATCAGCGCCGCTACTGCCGCCGCCGCTGCCGGCCAGGTACTGTGGGACCAGGCGGCCGGGCCGGGCTGGGGGCGGTGGGCCGGGACCCCGCGGGCTGGCGCCCTTGCGGAGAGGCGGCGGGGCCGGGAGGGGTCGCGGTGACTGTCCGCGGGGCCGGGCGCGGCTCAGGTGTGCTGGTGGCAGTGTCCGGGCACTGACTGGGCCTGCCCCGGGCCGGAAGGCTCAAGGGCGGCGCTGGGGCTCCCCAGTCTCTCCGTGCCTGAGGTCTTCCTCACCTCTCCCCGGAGGTTGGGCTCTACTTCCTCTACCCGATCCCGCCAGAAGTGGGGTCTGCCCCCCAGGAGAGGCAGGGAGTGCCCCCTCGGACCCCAGGAGGATTCCCCCGAGCCTCCCTCCTGTGGCCTTCGGGTGGTTGCTTCCTCCTAGAGCTCTGAAGCCCTCCAGGGAAAACCACATTTAGGATCCTCAGGAGGCAAAGCAAGTTAGGAGGTGGTACCAGGCGGAAACACCCAGTCTTTTCCTACCACGTACCTACCCCCGTCTACAAGTAAGGCCTTGGACCACAAGTCTGGCAGTGAACCCGATCCAGAGCCTAAAAAGCGTTACGGTCTTGGCCCGAGGTGAGACCCCCATCTCGGGCTCCAGGTTGAGTTAGGTGGTCCTGCTGACCCCTTGAGCAAGAGTGCTATCTCACAAGGGGATGGTTTTGCCTGGTGGTGACATGTGATGAGTCTGTACTAATTCACCAAGGCTGAATCACCAACCCAGTCCAGGCAGTTCTGAAATATTTTGAAAAGTTCTGCATTCAAGGCAGTGATTATTATCAAGCTTCACGTTCTCTGGACTGACAGCTATTATGCTGAAATGTGTTTTTAACGATGAGCTGGTTAAAAAGATGCAAGGTCAGTGTTGGTGGAAGAGAGTGTTGAGACGTCTGCAGTTGACTTTGGTACTTATAAATCTCTTTAAGAAATTAAGGAAATCCTTTTTTTTTTTTTTTTCCACAAATAGTCCGTTCCCCACGGCAGGAAATGTGACTGTTGTAATTTGGCATTACCATAAATATCTGGCAGCCTTCTCCCCCAGTCAGTAGATAGGAGAGACAGGCCTGTTACTGTTTGGTGTGAAACAGAAAGTAAAGCGTTTCTCCGGGTCAGGTTGGGATATTAAGACCACAAGAGTTGGGGGGAAATACATAAAAGAGACTTGACCTCCCCTGAAGTTGTAAGGTGTAAGGCAACATAATATACAGATTCAAAAAATTTGTTTTCATTTTTGAAGAAATAATTGTGTGAGACAGGAAGTGATAAGAATCAGCTCATTGTAAGCCATGGAAGAAGTTGTTTTCCCAGCAGTGTAAATGGCTAATAAGACAAAATTGTTGTATAAATTGTAAAAGGGAAACCTCATGGTGGGAGTTAGAAAATACATTGCAGGCCAATGAGTGCGTTATGATTTTTAAGAGGGAGAAGGAAATCAAGAGCAAGGTGTCCACACGATAGAGGTGCTTTGTGTTTTAAGTGGTCTTTTCATTTAACACACTTATGTTCTGAGTTAGTAGTAAATCAGATTTCTCCCTCCCATAATCCTGAACAGTTTAGCATTGGTGGGCATGACATTTCTTCAGAGATTGCTGACTGATAAGATGAAGAAATATCAAGTTGCTAGCATGAAATTTAAAAATCTGTAGAACTGGAAAATCTGCCTGACTTTTTCTAATATATTTTAGTGAAAAAATTCACTCAAGCCACAATGGTGGCATTTGGAAGATTGGTCTGGTGGAATGCCCTAAAGAATGTTTAGGGGTGCAGTATCCCTTCTAGAAAACAATTTCTCGGGAGTCTTTTTAAAACAAAGACTTTAGGTATGTAGCTTTTACACTATAAGAGGACTATTGTCTGTGGGGTGTTTTTTTCCCCCCGTTTCTTTTTCCTTAAGCAAAAGAAACTTCATAAGAGCAAGAGTATCTTTAAAATATTTTTTAAAGTTGTTTTTGTTTCGATTAAAGTGATGTGCTAGTGCTCCAAGCCCTGTGTATTTTTCCCCAGTTTCTGGGGGAAATATTGCCAATTATGCCGTAAAAATGCACATAAGATGTCAAGTGCACAGGCGTGTGTCTTGCCTTTTCTAAAATAGAGTGTAACAGGGTTTTGTTTTGTTTTTTCTTAATAAACTTATTTATTTTTGGCTGCGTTGGGTCTTGGTTGCTGCACACAAGACTTCTCGAGTTGTGGCGAGCAGGGGCTACTCTTTGTTACCGTGCGCGGGCTTCTTATTGCCGTGGCTTCTCTTGTTGTGGAGCACCGGCTCTAGGCGGGCGGGCTTCAGTAGTTGTGCCTTGCGGGCTCTAGAGCGCAGGCTCAGTAGTTGTGGCACATGGGCTTAGTTGCTCTGTGGCATGTGGGATCTTCCTGGACCCATGTCCCCTGCACTGGCAGGCAGATTCTTAACCACCGTGCCACCAGGGAAGCCCTGTAACAGGGTTTTTAAACCCAGGATATAAGTTCATTTCCTCACATAATACCACCATTTGCCTTTTAACGAACAGAAGAGAAGTTAGAAACTTCTAAGATCCCTCTACTCTCTCAGGAGTCTATATGCTTGCCTGTTTGTTGGATTTGGGTTTAGAGTTTGAGTAAATAGCTCCTGTGGTAGAAAGGATGTTATGAAACAATCAGACGTTACTGTTTGGTTTTGTTTTCTGGGTTTTTTTTTTTTTTCTCCAAATTTTGTGTGTGTGTGTGTGTGGTAAAATACACATAACATAAAATTTACCATCTTAACCATTTTTTTTTCTTTCTTTTTTTTTTTTTTGCGGTACGCGGGCCTCTCACTGCTGGGGCCTCTCCCGCCGCGGAGCACAGGCTCTGGACGGGCAGGCTCAGCGGCCATGGCTCACGGGCCCAGCCGCTCTGCGGCATGTGGGATCCTCCCGGACCGGGGCACGAACCTGCGTCCCCTGCATCGTCAGGCGGACTCTCAACCACTGCGCCACCAGGGAAGCCCCATCTTAACCATTTTTAAGTGTACAATTCAGTGGAATTAAATACATTCATAATGTTGTGCAGCCATCAATACCATCCATCTCCATAACTCTTTTCATCGTGTAAAACTGAAACTCTGTACCCGTTAAACAGTATCTCTGCATTCTCCCCTCCTCCCAGTCCCTGGCAACTACCATTCTGCTTTCTGTCTCTAGGAATTTGACTAACGTAAGTACCTCATATAAGTAAAAGTACTTGTCTTTTTGTGACTGACTTTATTTCCTTTAGCATAACATCCTCATGGGTCATGCATGTTGTAGCATGTATCAGAATTTACCTCCTTTTTAAGGCTGAATAATATTCCATTGTATGTATATACCACATTTTGCTTAGCCATTCATGTGTCAGTGTACACTTAGGTTGCTTCCCTGTTTCAGTTGTTGTGAATAATGACACTATCAACATGGATGTACAAATATCTCTTAGACCATGAATTCTTTTGGGTATATACCTAGCAGTGGAACTGCTCGATCATGTGGTAATTGTATTTTTAATTTTTTGAGGTAACACCGTACTGTTTACACAGTGGCTGTACCATTTTACATTTCTATCAGTAGTGCACAAGGGTTCCAGTTTCTCTACAGTCTCACCAACAATTGTTCTTTTCTTTTTTTTTTTTTGATAGTAGCTGTGAGATTATAGGGACAAAAAATATATGTATATAACTTCCTCTGCTGCTGGCATAGAGCTCCTAAAACCTGTGTAGTTTCCTAAGTGATAAGAGCACTAGGAGCATCTTTTGTCCTAATGTTTCGTCTTTGACCTCCAGTTTCTGACACAGAGCTCCTACATCCCTTGACGTTTCCTAGACAATAGAAACATCTTCAGTTCTAATGAGCTGACTCTTGGTGGGCTCCTGGATGGGGTCACCAGAAAGACCAAGCCATGAATAGAAGCTTGGATTTCTCAGCCCCACCTCCCAGTTCTCCAGAGAGGGGAGAGAGGCTGGAAATGGAGTTAATGATCAATCATGCCTGCATGATGAAGCCTCCATAAAAGTCCCCGAAGTACTGGGTTTAGAGAGCTTCTGGGCTGCTGACAACGTGGAGATGCTGGGAGAGTGGCACAGCTGGAAGCTCCGTGACCCTCCCCACTTTCCCTGCCCTACATATCTCTTCCATCTGGGTGTTCATCTGGATCCTTTATAATAAACTGGTGAACAGTAAGTAAACAATTTTTCTGAGTTCTGTGAGCTGCTCTACGAAGAGAGAGTCCCAGGAACCTCTGGTTGGTCAGAAGCACAGGTGACAACCTGGACTTGAGATTGGCATCTGAAGTTGAGGTGGAGGCAGTCTTGTGGGACTGAGCCCTTACCTGTGGGATCTGCCGCTATCTCCAGGTAGATAGCGATAGAAGTAAGTTAAATTGTAGGACACCTACACTTGAAACTAACACCACGTTGTAAATTAACTATATACTTCAATTTTTTAAAAAAGGAAAAAACAATGTAGGACACCCAGCTGATGTCACAGTATTGCTTAGTGGTGTGTACCCCCCACCTCCCAAACATCTGGTCAGAAGTGTTAGTGGCAAGGTAGTGTGAGAGTAAAGGAGAGACATCGCAGGAGAATTAGGTTTTTTCTTTACGGTAGCCATCCTTATGGGTGTAGACATTACTGTTTTTTAATGATGACGGTAGATAGAGTTTTCACAAGGAAGAGAAATGGTAGTTTTTCCTCCCTGCCATTCAGAGGAGTGAGAGAAGCGGGTCAGCCTTTCTTGAGGTAACAGGTGGCAATTAGTATTAAGGAAACAGAAAGAGAATTGGAAGCTTTGGCAGAATTAGAGCTAGAAGGAACCTTTAGGGGTTTATGTAATTCATTCCCTTTTCTATTTGTAGGACTTTATTAAAGCTAATCTTGATAGATGATTCTATCCTATTTTTAAAGACCTCTAGAGGCTTTGCAGGAAATTTTCTCAGCAGCGATTTGGAGTATTCAGTGATCTTAATTACCAAGAGTTTATTACTGTGGATTTAACATTTGATTAAAT